GCAAATATACATTAATATATATATATATATATATATATACTAAAAAAAATAGAAAGACTTAGTATCTCTCTTTCTCGTGAACAGAACATGTCATACTGAATAGAATAATTCTCTACCATTTTACAACTTTTGCAATAATTAATGAGATATCAATTTATAAATTTATAAATTATTTATCAATTTATAAATTGAACACGAATGAGCATGTATGTATTCGCACGAAGAGATATCCCAGCGTTATAGCACACTTACACGATTGTTAAGAAGCATAAAAAATGTACACTCATAATCAGTGATGCCAGATACCAGACGAAAACTGCATGTAACATTGTAATAAGTTGTTGAGAAAATAGATTGCATTCATTTATATAAATCTATTTGATTTTTGTTCCTGCACTGAACGGTATTAAATCTTCTTATCTCGCTTTTATCAAACTTCAAATATAATATTTCTATTATACAGCACAAATCACGACAAATATATTTCAGATAAGTTTAAGACAGGTAATTATTACGAAATGATAAAATTAATCATTATAGACATGTATTCGGTACTAAATTGATGTATGTCCGTTATCGCGCAAACTGGTTCGGATCGTCATGTTCACAACAAGAAACGTAGTTTGATTCAAACACGTTTACAGAAATGTAATATTGTTGGATGACATACATACAACAGCATATAACTGCAATATGTCAGGTACGTAATATTGGTAATAGACATGTAACTAAAATATATCAGACGTTTATTTCTCTCCTTATTCAGCAAACACAGTTACATGTAATATAAACGTTGTTAGTTTCCCACTCAACAATGTAATTGTTATATAACGCATTTGTTATACAATACACTGTAGTGTGTACCGTTTTAGAAATAGGAGCTCCGTGCGAATTCTTTGGAAATTAAAATAAAGTTTACCAAAAATTTTATGAGCTACCTAGGAACTTGTTATGTTGTGTGGGTCCCAGCTAAATAAACATATCAAAATAACATTAAAATTTAGTCAAAAAATTATAAAAAATTATTAATGTAATGATATTAAAATGACAAAAAAAGATAATATATAACTAATGACCAATGACGATGTTTTAAGACGTTAGAAAGATGTGATTTTATGACTTTTTCAACTTTTTAATAACGTTTTAATAACGTATAAAATTATAAAAATCAAATTACTTTTATTTATTAATTATATCTTTATTTATTAATTATATCTAGAGGCTAAAGATTGGAAGAAATGGAAAAGGATAGAGATTAACTACCGAACGAGACATGGAAGTACGAAACAGAAGAGGTTGAAAGATGAATATAAAAGATTTACCTATAAGCCATATGGTCGGAACAATGGAAAAGAAGAATAATTGATAACAATGACAAACATTGATAAAGAGAGAAAGAGGAAGAGTGAATGAATTATAAAAGAATAATGTTAATGCCGCCTTTACATAAGATACCCATGCAACGATAGTACAAGTGAGTTTGCGTAAACCTATTGCTGAGTATCATTACTGATTATACTGTGCTCCAGTCCTTTGCATTAAAAATGATCTGAGAGAGAGAGAGAGTAATATTACTCTTGCAGTCTTTTTCCCATATGTTTTCTTTCCCAACTCCAGAGCTCAACTGCCATGCCCAACTCCAGAGCAAACAATTTATCATATTATTCATAAAAAACGGTGCAATTTAATTAACCTGGAAGTGAACTAAGGCCGATATGTCAATTCGAAGTAGTAGACTTTAAATGATTTTCTTTAATAATAAATAATAATTTCTTAATTTCAATTATATGTATTCATATAACTATATGCGAATATATATGCATGCTTGCTATCGTGACAGCGATGCTGGCTGTCTTGCTAGTTTAGCTTCACACGGTGCGAGTTTTCGTGGCTGAGTAGCTAGAATTTCAGAGAAAGCACTTGACATATTTATCTATTTATTTATTTATTTTTCTTTCATCATATTTATTTCCACTTTGACAAGTTGTAGCAAACAGAGGAATGATAGAATATCTGATATTTGAAGGGAATATTTTGATCACATGATCTAAAGCTGCGTACTGATTAGTTTTCAAAGTGAGCCAGCACAAGACCATGCGAGAAAAATAGCATCGAATTTATTACAAAAATCTAACAGACCAGCTAGCAACATAGCCAACAGGCTATACAATTTCCAGCATAGTAGCCAACAAAATAGCCAGAAAGAACACGCAAACAATCCAGCAGTCAAAAAAGCGCCGGTTCAAGTTTACTAGTCTTGCTCAATTTCCTTTGGTATCATCCGGTTCAAAAGTGAAAAAAGAATTTATCTTTAGTAATTTCTAGCAAGAGTGAAATCAATTCATATTGACAATGAGAAAAGTATACTGCGTATATCAATATAACTTAGTTAGATATTAGCTAGTTATTATTATTCAATTTTATATTAAATCTTGCAAACCACCGATCATGGGATTGAGTCAATTTATTGATAAAATTGTACAAGAATAGGAACTTTGGTTGCGTTCAACAGAAAAAGCAGCTTGCAACTGTGGGAGGATTTTAAAATCCTTTAATATGATTGGTTTATACATTTAGAATCCATGAGGAACTAATGGCAAAAACCAATCATATCAAAGATTTTTACGACAGTGTGAAACTACTTTCTCTGCCGAACGCAGCCATTGACCATCTCTTTTTTGGTGCGCTTGCGCACATTCCAGTATTAATGTAGTTCATAGGTGTCTAATGGTGTACATAAGATATATTTATATTCATAAATCGGTTCGTGAACGCTGCGGTGCATTTACTTTGAGGTAGCCCTGCTAGCTTGTGTCGATTCGTCGTGAGACTAAGGCCTATAAAACTACTAAAAAGAAGACTTTAAGGCGAAATTAATAAAAGTATTTAGTCTTTTGCTTTCATATTCATCCCTGTTTTACCTTTACATTGACCTTTGTACTTTAAACACATACAAACTGATAAACATCCCTACCCTCTACTTTGCTCTTGTCATTTTTTTGATGATAGTAATTGCACAATCATCATCAACTGTTATACAAGTTTAAAGTAAAAACAACCCAACAACATAGTACCGTCTTTTAATTTTATTTAAAACGAAGTATTATCACCATGATGCTCAGGAAGGTAAGTGGCGAAAAACAATAATCATTTAAATTCGTTCGATTATGGAAATTACGCATGTGCGGATTTTAAATTTCTCTCTGCATAATAATATGTACTATTAATAAATAAAATATGTAACGGCAAATACTTCGATAACTCGATTGAATTAATCGTATGTTGAAAAATATGTATTTTTAAATTAATTTTTTCAGGTATTTAATCCACAAATGTACCAAAGAATGGTACGATCTTTTTCAGCAGTTGCTGAGTCTACTCAAGGATGTACTTTTGGTTAGTATATTTAGCTGTTATATTTGGTATCTCAATGAATGAATATATATGTAAATCTTAGATATATGATCGGAGTATAATTAGAATTTTAATGAAATAGAAAATATTCATGCCAAGGTGTGTTTGCAGAAATGTCTATTTGTGTGTTAAACTTCTCTAAACGAATACATTTCCAATATAAATTCAAGAAGAATTACATTTAATAAATATTTCAGAGACTGATAAAATATAATTTTATCATTTCTAAATCTAAATATAAATTTATCATTTCATTATTGTTTCTCATTACTTGTTTAAACATTACATTATTTGTTTCATGTATAAAACGGTATCAATCTTATATTAGAATAAATATATTG